CTTCAGCGGCAATTCGGCAGCGAGGGCTTCTTCCGCTCCGGGTCTTCGGCGGCAATTCGGCAGCAGGTCCTTCACTCGCTCTGGGACCCGCCGCCGAAGTGCCCCAAAGACCCGGAGCAGAAGGACCCCCGCTGCCGAAGACCCCAGGCCCCCTGAATCCTCTGGGCAGCCCTGCTCCAGAGCTGGCACTAACTTCATTTTATAAATAAGATTTAAAAATAAAATGATCAGTGAGATAAATCTCTCACTGAAATACCTTGCAAAATCTTTCATCTCATGAAGTTTTAAGATACATTTAGTAATTTATCACACTATGTGAGGCACACCAGGTGCATTGTGTGTTTTTCAACAGCTAGGTATTTACAATAGGAAAGCAAACTCTCCACTAGATAGCACTAACACACTGTCAAGTGAACAGCAGTTTACCATTACAGTGGAGCAGGAGCACCACTATAATTAAGGTTGAAACTAATTTACTTATTAATAGCCAGTTTTTGTAAGTCCTCTACAATTACTGTGTCTCCTGGGGCTCTGGGAGAGAGTTAGTGATTCAGATTTTAGGTCATTTGAGCAAGAGGTTCCCAAGAAATAGCCCCCCTGAAAAAATCATGTGATATCAAAATTTTATGGTTCTAATAACTTTTTTTGCACATACCCAAGGGTCAAACTATGGCTCTGGTCCTCCCCAAATTGATACCAGCTGCCTGAGATTGATCTCAGTTGTGGTCTGGTACCCACTCCCCTTTTAGGGAACCAATACTTGAAAAATAATTCAAGGTAAAAGTTGGATTTAAATGTAGCTTGAGCCAAGATGACAGGCTAAGAAAGTCATTTGTGCACATGCAGCAGGACTTGGGGTTCTGTTGTAAGACAGTGTTTGTAGGCTGCTTGACATCAGAATAAATGGGTGGTTTAAAATGGCATGCTGTAGCTGTTGAACCTGAGCACCATCCATATACTGCAACTTTGAGTCTTGCTTACCTTTGGCAGTTTTCTGAGAATGCATGTTGTGCATATTAGTTGCTCTCTGTCTGCATTCTTCATGGCTTAATTTGTGCCCTGAGAGCACAGTTTCCGGTTTAAAAGCTGATATCTCCAAGTGCTCATCCATATGCATGCTCAGATTTTACTTTAGAAATATTGTCATGGAAAATAGCATTTATTAAATAGAAGATGAAAGACTCTCGTAAGCAGTAACATTAGGTTAATGTATTTGTTTCTTATATGTCTCACCAGTTTCTTGACCAATAGGACTTAGTGTGATGAAAGAAAAATAATTTCAGCATGATCACAGGGTAACAATAGGAACTGCATCCATAATAAAGAGCCCTATTCTAAGGACTAGTATAAAGTCAACATTGATTTATGTGGCACCAGGATACTGCTGTTAGGCAAAACCAGTATCTTATGTTTATCATGAAATATAAATATGGAACAAATTTCAATTTTCTACAATAATTTATTCAGTCTACACAAATCAAGGAGTCAATATCAATTTCATCCCTCAAAGTGCAGTAATACCATGAAAAAGAGGTCTGAAGGAAATAGCAGACATTAAAATATTTTCAGTCACATTGCCCTTTTAAAAACAGTCATATAGCAAACCTCAAATTACATTTCTCCCTACAAAATGCTATAGAAAAATCAAGCTATGCACAAACTACAATACACGTTTTAAATGATGTATTAACCCAAAAGAGAAAAGTTTTGCAGACCATTTCACCTCTATTAAAATGGAAATTCTGGTGTACCCTTAAATCTAGTGATACTACTGCCCCTTTGTAGTGCCACAGCATTAGGGTCAGGGGCTGGTGAATATCTTAATTCTGTATTTCCTCGTTTTCAGAAGTTTAAATATAGGAGACGTCGACATTCTGGGAAGGTACAAGGCATACAGTTGGTCAATCTTAACTCTGAGTTAACAAAATTTATGGGTAGTGAATAGCTCTGTAATTAAAGCTGAACAAAAACAAAAACAAAATCATGACAATTTTCAAAAAATTCAAAAATGTTTTGTTTCAAAGTTTTGAAAAGGAATTAGATAAAAAATATTCATGACATTTTTACTGAAAAATTTCATCTTCAAAATTTTTGGTTTTCTGTTTTCCCCCCTTATTTCTCCTTTCTCTGCCTTTTTTCCATTTTGCTCCTGAAAATCAGAGGGCAAAAAAGGTGAGGTTAAAGAAAAACTGAAAAGGCAATTTTGTTTTGTTTTTTATTTTAAAAAATTAACATTAAGGAAAAAAACAAAAAATGAAAATTTAATTTTTGAAAAAGACCATTTTTAATAAAAAAAAATATTTACATTTGAAAACTTTCAACCAGGTTTATCTGAAATGCATTGACCAACGCCACATGTACTTGGCATATTGGCTCTAAATTCTGCAGCAATGTTGATTGATTACACAACCATTCAACTGCCTGCAATGTAAAGAAACTGTTCTAGAAAAAAAGCTACCATGTGAAACTAGAACACTGAAAATACATATTTTTTTATCTGCAGCATAATCAAGGAATAGCCCCCACCTTACACAGTCTTCTGAAACTGCTTGCCATAGCAAGACCCCCCAAGTGGGCTATCAAAAGCCTTCCTTCCCTTCATACACTGTCCCAGCTTAGTTAAGATCCCCTGTCAGACTTCTGCCACAAGATTTTAGCACTAAAGCATCTCAGGCCCCAATTCTGCAAGGATTTATGCATGTACAGTGACTTCAGTGGCACTACTCACAGGCCATAAAGTTAAGTATGTGTAAATCCTTGTAGGATTGGGGTCTTAGTGCCTCAAACAGGTTTTGTTTCCTCCCTACCTCAGGATGTGTAGTGGATGTGAGGCAGTAGGCCGAGGTGTGTGTGTGTCTTTGGAAAGCTGGGTAAGACTAGAGCAGGGGTCGGCAACGTTCGACACGCGGCTCGCCTGGGTAAGCACCCTAGCGGGCCGGGCCAGTTTATTTACCTGCTGACGCGGCAGGTTCGGCCGATCGCGGCCCCCACTGGCCACGGTTCGCCGTCCCGGGCCAATGGGGGCGGCGGGAAGCGGCGCAGGCCGAGGGATGTGCTGGCCGCGGCATCCCGCTGCCCCCATTGGCCCGGGACGGCAAACCGTGGTGAGTGGGGGCCGCGATTGGCCGAACCTGTCGCGTCAGCAGGTAAATAAATTGGCCCGGCCCGCTAGGGTGCTTACCCTGGCGAGCCGCGTGCCAAACGTTGCCAACCCCTGGACTAGAGGGAGACACTTATGGTGAGGACTGGCATGGAGGCCAAGGATCCAGGAAGATGTGAGTGTTCACATTAGTTCACCTTTAAAACTTGAGGTACTTTATGCCTAGAGTTTTAAATGTCACCAACCTGAAACCAGCTCACATTTGTAATGTGTAAGAATGAGAAGAAATGGAAATGTAACTGTGAAGAAAAACATCCATGAAAATCCTTTGAGGACCTTACTCAGAAAACGCATTTTGAAGTCAATGTGAGTTTTGCCTGGGTTTGGTCCGCTGAGATAATGCTATCATAGGTTGACCTCGTGTGCGTACTATAAGAGAAAAAGTCAAAAATAAAGCATTAACATTTTAATCATCACACACACTTATATCTCAGTTAATTTTACATTTTAAAAGCAAAAACGTTATCCAAGAATAAGGAGAGAATATGCTCTGGGCCTCAACAACCTCTACAAAAAGCAACAGAGAGTCCTGTGGCACCTTTAAGACTAACAGATGTATTGGAGCATAAGCTTTCGTGGGTGAATGCCCACTTCGTCGGATGCATGTAATGGAAATTTCCAGGGGCAGGTATAAATATGCTGGCAAGAATCATTCTGGAGATAACGAGGTTAGTTCAATCAGGGAGGGTGAGGTCCTCTGCTAGCAGTTGAAGTGTGAACACCAAGGGAGGAGAAACTGCTTCTGTAGTTGGATAGCCATTCACAGTCTTTGTTTAATCCTGATCTGATGGTCCTAACCTAACCAGATCAGCTACAACATCACCGGTTCATTCACCTGCACGTCCACCAATGTTATATATGCCATCATGTGCCAGCAATGCCCCTCTGCTATGTACATTGGCCAAACTGGACAGTCACTACGTAAAAGGATAAATGGACACAAGTCTGCTATCAGGAATGGCAATATATAAAAACCTGTAGGAGAACACTTCAACCTCCCTGGCCACACAATAGCAGATGTAAAGGTAGCCATCTTACAGCAAAAAAACTTCAGGACCAGACTCCAAAGAGAAACTGCTGAGCTTCAGTTCATTTGCAAATTTGACACCATCAGATCAGGATTAAACAAAGACTGTGAATGGCTATCCAACTACAGAAGCAGTTTCTGCTCCCTTGGTGTTCACTTACCTTACAGGGTGGGCTGGGGCTGGCTCTGACTCCACTCAGCCACGCCCCTTCCGCCCTAGGCCCCACCCCTTCCGGGGGCCAGAGCTGGCCCCAGCGTACCAGTAAGTCACTGGACTTACTTTCACCCCTGGCTGTAGGCTACCTGAAAGCAGCTTACAGAAGTGTAAATGTAACCTCCCAATGGGGTTTAACCCCAAATAAATCCGTTTTACCCTGTATAAAGCTTATACAGGGTAAACTCATGAATTGTTCACCCTCTATAACACTGATAGAGAGGTATGCACAGCTGTTTGCCCCACCCCCAGGTCTTAATACATACTCTGGGTTAATTAATAAATAAAAAGTGATTTTATTAAATACAGAAAGTAGGATTTAAGTGGTTCTAAATAGTAACAGACAGAACAAAGTAAGTCACCAAGCAAAATAAAATAAAACACACAAATCTATGTCTAATCAAACTGAATACAGATAATCTCATCCTTAGAGATGCTTCAGTAAGTTTTTTCCTCAGACTGGACACCTTCCAGGCCTGGGCACAATTCTTTCCCCTGGTACAGCTCTTGTTCCAGCTCAGGTGGTAGCTAGGGGATTCTTCATGATGTCTCTCCCCTTTGTTTTGTTCCACCCATTTATATATATTTTGCATAAGGCAGGAATCCTTTGTCCCTCTGGGTTTCCACCCCCTCCTTCTCAATGGAAAGACACCAGGTTAAAGATGGATTCCAGTTCAGGTGACATAATCACATATCACTGTAAGACTTCAAGCCTTCATTCCTCCCAGCCTGACCCACAGGAAGGCTTGCCTGCAAACAGAGCCATCCACAGTCAATTGTCCTGGTTGATGGGAGCCATCAAGATTCCAAACCACCATTAATGGCCCACACTTTGCATAATTACAATAGGCCCTCAGAGTTATATTTTATATTTCTAGTTTTGATACACGAGTGATACATTTATACAAATAGGATGACCACACTCAGTAGATTATAAGCTTTGTAATGATACCTTACAAGAGACCTTTTGCATGAAGCATATTCCAGTTACATTATATTCACTCATTAGCAGATATTTATAAAATCATATAGAGTGCAACGTGACACCATGGATTTATATAGAGGCAATATGATATTTTCTGTCTTACTAGCTATCCCTTTCTTAATGATTCCCAACATTCTGTTCGCTTTTTTGACTGCCGCTGCACATTGAGTGGATGTTTTCAGAGAACTATCCACAATGACTCCGAGATCTCTTTCTTGAGTGGTAACAGCTAATTTAGACCCATCATTTTATACGTATAGCTGGGATTATGTTTTCCAATGTGCATTACTTTGCATTTATCAACATTGACTTTCATCTGCCATTTTGTTGCCTAGTCACCCAGTTTTGAGAGACCCTTATGTAGCTCTTCGCAGTCTGCCTGGGACTTAACTATCTTGAGTAGTTTTGTATCATCTGCAAATTTTGCCACCTCACTGTTTACCCCTTTTTCCAGCTCGTTTATGAATATGTTGAATAGGACTGGGTCCAGTACAGACCCCTGGGGGACACCACTATTTACCTCTCTCCATTCTGAAAACTGACCATTTATTCCTACCCTTTGTTTCCTATCTTTTAACCAGTTACCAATCTATGAGAGCACCTTCCCTCTGATCCTATCCCATGACAGCTTACTTTGCGTAAGAGCCTTTGGTGAGGGGCCTTGTCGAAGGTTTTCTGAAAAACTAAATACACTATATCCACTGGATCCCCCTTGTCCACATACTTGTTGA